TTAGTCGTTCAAGGAGTATTTGCAAAGCCCCTAATAGGGGCCAGGCACAAGTACAGGGGCTGAGGACGCGGCAACGAACAAGACAGCCATGATCCCTGTTCTCATGGACCTGAAGTCTCTTCCAGCGCTGAATGTTGGGATAAACCAAGAGAAGCATCTTTGCGTACAACAGGCAGGGGTCCAAAGGGAAACACTCCAGGAACTCCAGTTGGCCAAGAGAGCCTGTGGACAGGGACAAAGTAGAGCCTGGCTCCGTCACCTTGTCCTTTCTCTTTCCTGATCTTGCAGAAGCCTAGCATACAGTGGTGTGCCGGAGCTAGCCCGTCTGCTTCCTGCATCTTTTCCCGACCCCACGTGTGGTGATGCCACATTGGTAGCTTAAAATCACCGATGGTGGGAGTCGTGACACCATGCAAATCAGCAGATGTTACACACCACTGCGATTTTTCCTGAGATGGGCTGCTGGGTGTTGACTAGTAACCCATGGCTGGCAGCGTGTCTTCGACAGGTGAACGGCTGCCCTTGTCGGAGACAGAAGGATAAAGCAATTGACCCCTGACCTTGATAGCATGCTAGCTGCCCTTTGCCATCCTCCTGGAGTGAGCCTCAATCCTGCTTCTCTGCTGTGTGTGTGTGTGTGTGTGTGTGTGTGTGTTTCCAAGTTCAACAAAGCCCAGTTGAGCTTGGAATCCTGAGCAGCTTCAAAGTAAATATTATCATTATGACCCTTTGTGCTGTTGCTCACAGCCATTACTGTTGCTGGCACTTGTGGATGGATGAGTCCCTGTGGAGCTCTTCCCAGCAGCGCAGAGCCAGGGCCCAGAATATTTGTACTGCTGGCACTGCTGGTTCCTCTCGGGTCCTGTACTGTACCTACACCCATAACCCTGGGGTCCTCGACATTTCCAAAGCCAAGGGACTAGTATATGTAGGGCTTTTTTTTTTTTAAGAGGTTTTTGCCTTAGGGTTTGTGTATTCACCAGGGGGAGAGACAGACAGAGACAGTGAGAGGGAATGTGAGAAATCACCCCTCAAGGGGAATGACCATGTTGCAATCCCTTCTCTTCCGTTCTCCCTCTGGGATCTTGGGCACGCACAAATACACACACAGGCACCCAGTATGAGTTTCAAGTCACCGGGTCCAGGACTCAAACTGCAGTTGGTCATGTGGGAGTCCAGTGACATAGCTGCTATGCCATCTGCTGGCCCCTGTTGGGCATTTTTTAATGGGAAGGAAGGGGAACCTCACCCTTCTCAGTATCTCAACCCTAGATAATCTGGTGCAGAGGAGTCACACTGTGCTCACACCCATGTACCTGGTCCTCTAAAAACGATCATCAGAGGTGCCATTTATTGGTCTCCTTACATATACATTCGGCTCTGGATTCAGAAAGATTCTCCCTCTTCCTCTCTCTCAATCTCAACATACGCACGTGGACACACATGTCCATGTGCATGTAGGGTATCTGCTCTGGGAGCCAGGTAGATGATCAGTGGCCGAACTCCAAGATAAACAATAATGTGAAAAAATATCGTAGGTCTCTGTTAATAATCACAGTGAGCGCTACCAAAATTGTACACTGAAAATGCCCTATCAGAAAAGAAAAAGCAAATGCTCTAAGGAAACATGTTCTTTTTTGTTTTTAATTTAATTAATTAATTTATTTATTTATTTTAAAAGTTATTTTATTTAACTTTATGTATTTATTTTAATTTGACCAGAGAGGGACAGAATGAGAGAGATAGAAAGAGATATGGAAAGTGAGAAAGCAAGCTGCCAGGTCTGGGACTCGAACCGGGGGAGGCTATGTGGGAGTCCAACACCCTTAACCACCACGCCACCTGCCGACCCCAACTTATTTATTTTTTTATACATTCAACCACTGTCTATCAGTACAGCTTGTAAAATGAATTTTCCCAGCATGAATATACTGTATATTAGTCCAGTTAAAGATATCACCATACACGTTATCATCAACAGATAATTTTCCATTTTTGTGCCCCTTAAATGTTTTGTGTCTTTTTCCCATTCTGAGGGAACACGTTCTATCTTTGTATAACAGTCATCAAGGGGTATACCTGACATTACGTACAGGCCGTAGGCATGGAAGTGCAGTCACTGAAAGTCCTGTGAGAAAAAAGATCACCTTCAGCAGCTGAGCTATGGACCCTTTGCCAAATCAGCGACAGGACCCAGCCACATGATTGCAGCCTCAGAGCCACTCTAAGCCACTCACGACCTTGGCCCAAATTGTGGGTTCTGTGAGCAATGACAGGGTTGTGAGCACAGCAAAAGAGCAGAATGCATGTGCTGTAGGCTTTTTTTGGATCAGGGTTGGGGAATGAAATGAACCCAGACCAGGTTGTTCTAGCCAATGGTTAAAACCTGCAAGACTAAGAGGGGAACTACTGGGCAGCCATCTCCTAAAACTTGACAAGTGGGGAGGTCAAGAGAGCATATGACTCCTTGGATTTGAGAGGGTTTCCTATCCTTTCCTCTTAGAGGGTCATGTCCCAGGCACTTGAAGAATTCCATACCAGCAGGTGCATGCTAAAGCAGACAGGGCTTTACTATCTCTTCCACTCCCTTTGCCTTGAAAGTGGCTGCCTCCTCTGGGCCCTAGGGGAGCCTGTGATCCATATATCAACTTACCCTACATTTCCGCTCTGAGAGAAGCATTCTGACTCATGACCTCGCTCCTAAAGTTTTACTAGCTCACCCAATCGCATGTGGTTGAAAGGTTGCTTAGGGTGGGTCTGTCATGTCACTGCTGATCTCTTTCAACTTCAGTACAGGTCATATGGACCCTCGGAGGATCACCAAGGGAGTCCAATATGTTGTGTAGAAATATTGCAGTAATCAAATACGATATGAAATAAGCTGGCCACCAGCTGAAGATTAGACCTCTTGTTAGATGGGCAGAGATTTGGCAAGGCCACTATGGGATGAAATCCCATTCGCTCTTGATGTCGATCGCTATGACTTTTCTTTATTTCGTATTCCTCTCCTACTAGCATTTGGTCATAACCATGAGTTAGATTTTCAGCATTGAAGAGTTAACAGCCTAGATCTGGATTCTAAGGCCCCTTGTGTGTAACTCCTTGAAGGAGTTCCAAAGTTGATGCATGGGAGTGAGTCACTGAGCTAGTGAGTGAGCCTAGCTGACTGCTTGTAATCCTTATCTAGGGGTGGCCTTGTTGTTTTCCACTTGTCCTTGAGTATAAGGTGATTTACCTATTTTTAAATGTCCTGGAAGGGACCAGCTGGTGGCACAGTGGTTGGGGTACTGGACTCCTACATGGCCGACTATGATTTGAGTACCAGACCTCCTGGCGGCTTGCTTCCTTCTTCTCTCTCTCTCATAAAATTAAAGATAATAATGATAAATAACACCGAATGAATAATTATTTTTAAAAAAAAGAAGAAGAAAAATGACCTGCAAAAGAGTGCCGGGGATAGAGGAGATGAAAAGATAAAAAGCCCAAGGGAACCAGCAGTTAGCATAATGGCTATGTCGCTGGACTCCCACATAGTCAAACGTGGTTCGCGTCCCGGACCCGGTGGCTTAAAACTCACGCCGGGCACGTGTGCGTGCGTGCCCAAGATCCCGAGAGGAGAATGGAGGAGAAGGGATTGCGGCGTGACCATCCCCCCTGGGGGGTGATTTCTCGCTTTCTGTCTCTCTGTCTCTCTTTGTCTGTCTGGCGAGCGCACGCGCCCTATAGCGAAAAAACCTCTCCAAAAAAAAAAGATAAAAAGCCCAAGAAAATGAATGACGTTAGTGAGAAAACAAAATTTTTGAATACGTTCGAGAGTAAAATGTCCAATTCAGCGGTGAATCCAATCTACAATGTGAACGAGTCCCCAAAAATAAGAAAAGGCAATTAGCAAAAGTGGGCGTTTCAGGCAGTGTGAAAATCGACTTAATTATTATGGTATTTATACCATCATTAAGGTGTGGAAGGAGGTCACTAAAAATATGCAGGTATGCTTTCCTTAACCGGAGTGTGAAAATTATATGCTATGATTGTGTTTGCAAATTTGGGATTTTTAAGATCTAAGGAGATATCTGTAAAGAATATCAAGGAACTATTATCCCCTGTATTGGTCTGATTAGTACCCAATGATTTCCAAGGTGTTGTCATGCTCTCAAGAGATGTTGGTGGCAACAGTTAGAGAGGCAGTGGGAAGGACGAGGGGTCATTCAGGCCTGGGTTCTTGTCACGGTTCTCCCACTTTTTCTGTGTTGCCCCAATGAAATCCCTTGTCTTCCCCAAGTCCCAGGATCTCCCTCTGTTCCATGAGACTATGAATGCTCCTTGCTCTGCTCACTCCACAATCTACTAAAGACCATAAGGGGCTAATGCGGGAAAGCGTCTGAGAAGTATGAGCGCTTCCTGTAGGGTTAACTCATTCACTCCTTTCATGAACGTTGCTGAACTTTCTTTGCTGTAATTAGCAAACTTAGAAGGGACTACAATGTGGTTCCCACCATTGAGATTAGAGGTCTACATGGAGCTATAGATAAGGGGACTAAAAGAACTTGGCAGACAGTTGTGGGGTTGCTGCACTTGAACTCCAACTGTACCAAGCACAGCAAAGCTGCAGAGCAAACAGACCCAGCCCACTGTCCACAGGTGGTGGGGAGACGTCCCTCCTCAGCCGTCACGCCCCTCACTTCTGCCCTGGCTCCTGTCTTCCATCGTCAAACAAACTTGCTGGCAGTCACTGAGCCAGCGAGCTCCCTTACAAAATTTTTCCTGGGTCACACACAGCTCACTGTCACCCAAGGTGTGGTTCCATATTCTGGACTGGCCAGGAAATAATTACAGTCACTGCTCACCAAAACAAGCTGATGGATAAAAGAAAAGGGGTGGGAGTGGGGGGAGACTCTTGCAATTAAATGACACCCTATTTAACCTAATTACCTGCAAAAGCCACATCCAGCCATTAAGGATCCATATTCTGTGATAGAATTTCCTGCTAGGGAAATACTCACCCACGCACAGGATGTTGAAGCAGAAGCCCTGGCTGACTGACTTATTCACCAGCTGGTCAGGCAAGCTGTCAAACCCCACATGTCCAGCCAGGGGGACAGTTCGGCAACCTTCACCCTAATTTGGAAGGGGAGGGAGGGGAGAAAATGAAAGTGTGCTTAAAAGCAATCTGGGTCTCACTTCTCCATCCAAATGCTACAAAGGAACACCCATTCTGGCCCTCGGCTCCTCCCCACTCCAAAGCAAAATGGCCCATCAGCTTGGAAATCACAGGCTCTAGGGTGCAGGCATCCTCTAGGCTCCATAACGGACATCACCACAGTTCCCTTCAGGACAAACTACAATGGGGGCCTACTGTCAGTGGCTGGAGGGCAGGCCAGGAGAGGAGGATGCTGGCAACAGAGATTCAGAGATTCACGGGCTTGGGTTAAGTCTCCACTCAATCATATCCGTGCTGTGTAGCCTCCCTGAGACTCTGAGATAATACGACCTATCTTAGAAGGGATGGAGAGACCTAATTGTGCTCATGCATGTAGGGAGCTCAGTGCATGCACAAGTGTTTGGTAAATATTACCAAAAGAATTTAGAAAGCAAGTAGTTCTCTGTGCAAGACATTCTGAGGATCTAGCAGGGTGATACAGTGTAGAGGTTAGGAGCAGAGGCTTTGAAATCAGGCAGGTCTGAGTTTGAGCCCCATCTCTGCCATTTTCTGGCTATGACTTCGGACAAGTAACCTAACTTTTCAAAGCTTCTCCATGGGTAGAATCGGGAGCTGGGAGTCAGGATGATGTAAAGTGATGCTCAAAGAGTCGGCACCATGTCTAGCACGTGGCATGCGTTCATCAACAGTAGCTGCTGCAATGAGTGCACCGTGAGGCTTATCCTCAGACTCCCCCAAACTGAGCTGTAATGCCATGGAACGCTTGTGGCTCCCCTAGCCGGAGGGAACTGCCTCCACACTTCCTCTGGGTCCCTTGACTCCACCGAGGTCAGCCAAGCCACTCCCAGCCCTGGAAAGCAGAGGGCCTTTGCTTCGCTTGCGAGGCTCAATGTTTCTTATAGCTAATGTTTTTACAAAACAACGACAGCCTCAGACTAGGGCAGGTTTCCAAGCAGCTAGGGAAAAGGACAAAAGGGGCCTGCATGTACTCAAGAAACATGCCAACTGCCAACAGTCACAGGGGAGGGGTGGAGTTGGGGAGCTGGAGACCATGAGCTAGCCCAGAAGAGCGGGCTACACAGAGTCAGACTTTCTGTTGGGTGGGGCCACACAAAGATTTCCATAACCAAAAAGAAGCCAAGAGCAATCCAAGCAGGGCACAGTTGGTGTCAGGAGGCTCATGCCAGCATCCCAGGCTGCCCTAGTAGGTGGCTCTTAACCTGGACCAGATCTGCTTTTACACGGGGTCTTCTTCAAAATGTCTGTGGAAATGGGTATGATGTAAGAACTATGAATGAATCTCAAAAAAGTAAATTTTTTTTGGCATAATAAACCCATGCTTTGATTCCATTTCTCCAAGAATTTAAAAGTCCCCTCGTACTGGAGCCAGCAGGTGATATGGTGGTTAAGGCCCTGGACTATCACATGGTTAACCACAGTTTGCATCCCAGATCCAAAGGCTTAAAATTCATGCCAAGCATGTGTTCGTGCACGCCCAAAATCTCAGGAGGAGAATGGAAAAGAAGGGATTGCAGTGTGGCAATTCTCCCCCACCCGGGGGGGGGAGCTTTCTCACTGTCCTTCTCTGTCTCTCTGGTGGGTGCATAGACCCTATGGCAAAAACCTTAAAAAAAAAAAACAAGTCCCCTCGTAAAGCAGGTCCTTGACGAGAGCTTACATTCACACTAAGGGAGTGGGCTGTGATGGTGCACAAGCCTCTTGGAGACCAACATCATCCAAACTGGTTCCCAGAGAGCCCTCTACCCAGCTCGGGATCCCACTCCCAATGATGTCATTAGATCCTTCGAGAGCGAATGACAGGGCTGGTGCCGGTGACTGCCATCTGGCAGGTTCATTACCCTCGCACGTCGCACCCCACACACTCCCAGTGCAGCATTCTTGACAGACGGCCATATGCCATCATTCAATCTGTGTTGGTGTATTCTGTGCCCAGAGGGGTTCCTGAACAGAGCTGAGTTTCATGAGGGGCCCACATCACTCAGGGCTTTGTTCTACACCCACCCCATCTGCTTCTCCTTCCCCTTTTCCCATCTTCTTTTCATTAAAGCGAGCAAAGTGAGATGTAAAGTTCTCACTATTGGTTCTTGGGCCTCAACACTGCAGGGGAGACAGCGACTTAAGAGTCAATGTGCTTTCCCAATGGAGACACCGGCATCAGAAATTGGGACAGACTCAAGAGTTGAGGTTTCCTGAGCCAAATTTTATTGTCCCTGGCTGCCTCTTCCTGTCTCTAAATTCAGCACCATGAAACTTCAAGTGCTCCAAAGCCTCTGGTTATAAGTGCCAAAGGAGAGGGAAGGAATTTTCAAACCAGAGATAGTGGGCCTAGTAGGGAGAGCTCCATACCTTGTTCTTAAAGATTTGCTTTACTGCGGCACATGTGCACTACGGAATACTACTCAGCCATACAAAGCTGTGGGATCCTGCCATCTGATAGGAAGTGGACGAATATGGAAGATTTACTGCCAAGTGAAGCAAGCCAGACTATGAATGAGAGGTATTGTATGTCCCCACTTACTGCATGCCAAATGTCTGCACTCTACAGCAGAAACTGACATATTGGAAGGTCTAAAGGCATGGAGAACAACTGTGGATACTAGAGACAGTGTGGGAGGAGGGCGGGACATGGGGGAGAGTGAGAAGGAGAGAATCAAGGGGAAGAAGAAAGAAACAAAACATTTGAGGGACACAAAAATGGAAAATCATCTGCTAATGATAATGTGTATGGTAATAACTTTGACTGGACTAGAGATACAGTGTGTTCATGCTGGGAAAACTCAATTTGTATGCAGTAATGATACCCAGTGATTAAATGTAAATAAGAATAATAAATATTTACTTTGTTGTCAAAAACCTACCAAATGCCTCACATATGCCCACCATATCCCCTCATCTAAAAGAGTGCTGTAAAGAACCCTAAGGGGCAGAAGAGAAGAGTATGGGCTTTATTCCCTCAGCAATAGGGTTTGGGGGATTGTGAGCATCATGATAGGTTTGTTGTTGTTCTTCTTGTTTTTGTTTTTGTTTTTGAAGATCATTCCAGAGGCTGCATGATGGTGCACCAGTGGCAAGACATTGCGAGGCTCACCTACATGTGAAGGTTTCAGGTTCTCCACTAGAGACCTCCCCGAGTACTCGAGGCACACAGGAGCCAATGATCCAGGGCTGGCTGAGGCTGCGGCGAATCACGGCTTCACGATGCTCATGGG